AATGTACAAATGTGCTTGACACGATGGATGTATGGATTGTGCTAAGAGTTATATGATTAACTAATAAAATGATTAGAAAAAAAGAAACAGGGAGGTGATGCTGTAGTCCCAGAGTTAGGACTTTTTCTTCTGTTTATCTGGTATTGTTAAAATGCTTGTGTGATACCTTGTCCTTTAAAATCTTCTATTAAAGCCCCTAGCAGCTTCATTGGCTTAATTTGCAGGGTCATTACAACAGTGCATGCAGACCTGCAGTCCACTCAAGGATTCTTTGAACGTTGTTTTTTTCACGCATGAAAAATTTCACACATGCACAAAAATAGAACATGTAAAATTTAACATTATCATCTGTATTAGACAATTTTCAAAGACTTCCTAATATTTCCTCCCCCCTATGCAACTAATTTAAAACTAATATCAGACACATCACTTCCCTACCCACAAGTACTTAGGTATGTTTCTCTGAATGCTGACATTTTTTATTAAAATGTGAACGCAACCTTTTTTAAATTTTACCTAATAAGTCATTTCATGATCAAATGGCCCCAATTGTTACTTCCTAAATCTTAAGCCAGCAAACCCAGCTAACTGTTAGCCAGCAAACCCAGCTAACTAGGGTGGCCAACCACCCTGGTTTTCTTGGTGTTGGGAGATGTGACCTATTCAGTGCTAACACAAGGCAAATGGAGACGGTTGGTCACCTGTTGTCAGTAGTGGACTGAGAGGTCAGAGCAGTTGGGTAAGTGTATCCTTTTTTCACCGCTCCAAGTCTGTTCTCTTGGAAGTTCAGGTACAGAGGGAAATTGCTCATCCGTGAGCAGGGAGGAGTTGCGCACTCCTGTCTCGGCGAGCACACTGTCCAGCTAGAAGAGCAGCACGGAAGTAAACTCGTGCAGGAGTGGTTGCTTCGGAGAGAAATGGGCCAGGAGCAGTCATGGGACACTCAAGGAAACGGAAATGGAGCCATACGATTGTGTAGAAGTCACATTCTAATAAAATCCATATTGTATCTAGGACCTGGGAGATAGGAAGTCGCCGTATCTCTGATGGTGTCTGGATCTCTTTGCCAGGGGTCTCCCCTCCAGCCTCTGCAGATGAGACCTTTGAGCACCACCTGCAGCGACTGCGGAAGCTCATCAAGAAGCGCTCTGAGCTGTATGAAGCTGAAGAGCGAGCCCTCCAGGTCATGCTGGAGGGAGAACAAGAAGAAGAGAGGAAGAGAGAATTGGAAAAGAAAGAACGAAAAGAAAAAGAAAAACTCTTACTTCAGAAGCGCGAGATTGAGTCCAAGTTATTTGGGGAGCAGGGTAAGTTCCTACGAACCCAGTGAGAGAAAGGAAACTCCCTGGTTAGCGCTTCTCATCGGGGACGATGGCAGCTGCAGCCGTGAGGGCGCTGGTGGCAGGTGCCATTGCGTCCTCGCTCACCTCACATCAAGCCAGGTGACTGACTGGAATGGCCCATAGTGATCTCTGCAGGGGCAGGCTGCCCAGATCTTTTTCACCCCCAAATGCCAACGTTTCAGTTAGCAGGCACCAGGACTCCTGAAGCTAAGGGCTCAACAGTTCAGCTCACTGCCATCGATGCCAACTGATAGCGACCCCATAGGACAGGTAGAATTCTCCCTGTGAGTTTCCCACTCGATAGGAGTAGAAAGCCATCTCTGTCTCTCAGATCGGCTGGTGGTTTCAGACTGCTGACCTGCTACATCACGAGGGTTCCTGAGCTAAGGAATAGTAGCCAACAACTGGCACATTCAGGATTCACTGTATCACGGAAATCTTAGAAAAAGATGAAACTCACCGATCATACTGTCAATCGCTGTCTAGGTGTAAAGTTTGATGACATGGTATTGAACCTTTCTTTTCAGACGAGTTCCCCCTCGCTCACTTCTTGCAGCCTTTCCGACAGTATTACCTCCAAGCCGAACACTCCCTGCCAGCGCTCATCCAAATAAGGTAAAGGGGCAGGCTTTCCCAGAGGCAGCTAGGAGCACTTGATGAAGTGCTTATGATGCAGAGGTCTATTGCTATACCTTTGTAGGAGGGTCTTGATGGGTTGTAAGGTTTTCAACGTTCAAGGAAGCCACCTACAGCTCCTTTTGTTCTAATTGCTCTGTAAGCAGGGCACGGTGTGTCCCTCTTTGAGCAGATGAGGAAATCCTACGCTGCAACAGTTAGGTTGATATAAAGCACGTGTGGGGAGCGTCCAGCCCGCAGGCCCTAAAAGGCTGGAGAAGTTATCAATACCAGCTAATTACACACTCCTCACAAAAGAGAAGCAGCTCCAGCGATCACATTCCAAACCAAAATAAAACAAATGCTGTCATCAAGTCGATTTTGACTCGCAGCGAGCCTAGAGGACAGGGTAGAACTTCTGCTGTGAGTTTCTGAGATAGTAACTCTTTATGGGAGTAGAAAGCCCATCATCACATTAGGGGTTGAGTTAAAATGTTGGGACAATATGGCCCGTGAATAATGTTACACATATCCGAATGGCCCTTGGCAGAAGAAGAGTCCCCTACCCCTGCTTTGAAAGTATAGGCTACCCTTTGCTCATTCCCTTCTCTGATGCTAAGCAGACCAAGGAAAAGAAACCCACCCTCATTCTTGCCTATAGAAACCATTAAAATCCATACTGGCTTCTGAGCTCATAGAGGTCAAAGCCAAGAAAGTAGAGAACGAGGGGAACTGGTGTTTCATCTTAACTCACAGTGACTGGCGAGCTGGGCCAAGTTTGATGTCAGTTTCCTCACCTACAAGATGAAGACGGCGGGTTGGAATGGTGGCCTTCAACCCTTAGTGGTCGTTTGAGAAATCACTAGGCAGAGGGCTTCACTGGTGGTTTAAATTCTGTTGACTGAGAACATGCTGTTGTAGATCAGCGGTTCTCAACCTTTGGGTCGCAACCCCTTTGGGGGTCGAATTACCCTTTCACAAGGGTTGCCCGGTTCATAACAGTGATGAAGTAGCAAGGAAAATAATGTTATGGTTGGGAGGGTCACCACAACATGAGGAGCTGTATGAAAGGGTCGCAGCATGAGGAAGGTTGGGAACCGCTGCTCTAGCTGCTCCAAATCAGACACTGGGCCCAAAGGTTCTACAGCGCCTGGTTGGAAGATCACAAAACTAAATGATCACTGAGATCTCTTCCGAAGCACCAGTGATTTATGATTCTAATGAATAGATGCTCTTTAGCATACCAAGTTCATCTTCTGGGGAAAATGCATCTCTGGCTGATTTGTATGCCTGGGCTTCTAAAACATAATAGGCATGTTCATGAATGAACCCTGCTGGTGTAGTGGTTACACATTGGCCTGTGATCCGAAAGGTCATCAGTTTGAAACCAGCACCCCTCCTCAGGAGAGAGATGGGGCTTTCTACACTGAAGAGCTACAGTCTTGGAAACTCACAGGCCTATAGAGTTGCTGTGAGTCAGCATCGACTTGATGGCAATGAGGTTGGTTTCTTAGGGAAAATTCACTGCTTCATTACCAGTAAGGTAATTTTTCAGGGTTTTTCCACCCTTTATGTGTATACTTAAAAATGTATACTTCTGCGTAATTCCTAGAAATCAGGTGGATTAGTACTTTAGTCAAAACTAAGCTATAGAAGTAGGATATTTAGATACTAAACATCTCTTGCTTACAATACAACTAAAATAAGCAATTGTTCTTATTAAGGCATGATTGGGATCAGTACCTGGTGCCATCTGATCATCCCAAAGGCAGCTCCATTCCCCAAGGCTGGGTCCTTCCTCCGCTCCCCAGCAACGACATCTGGGCAACTGCCATTAAGATGCATTAGTAAAGATGCTCCAGGAGATGCTCCAGTCCCAGCCGAGGCCCTTTCCTGCCCCAGGTGTTAGCAGTGCTGCCGTCTGCACGTGCCATCAAGTGAAGCCCTTGGAACTCTCATTACCCGGCGCTGAAGTTGTTCCCTCCGTGCTCTGTCTGGGGTGAGGGTGGTGGCTCTTGAATCAGGACATCGCTGGCTTCTTCAGGGAGGAACCTGGGTGGATTGGAGCTAACAGGTAACACAGGTGGTGGCCTTGGCTTACTAAATTTGCCTCTGTTTTGAGGGGCTTAGTCCAGAGTGACTTGTTAATTTACTCTTCCATGTGTGGTGATAGGTCATACTCAGATGGAGGGGTTTCGAAACGTGTGTGGGAAAATGGAATGAAAAGATAATTCTTTTTTTTTTTTTTTCATGAACTCCTTAAGCCCCCTTGTACACTCAGTACTGGTGTGTGCGAGGCAGTCAGCTGTTCTCCCACAGCAGCAAGTGTGGAAGGCAAGGTTGGTGTAAAATCCATCCTTTCCCTTCTACCCCAGAACCCTTGTAACCTCCAGGAAGGAAGGTAGCACATGCTCTTTGTCTGCAGTTTTGCTAACCCTCCTCTTGGTGCGCTCAGGTAAGTAAGGAAGGTGGCACTTAGCTCCCAGCGGGGCTCCAGGAAAGACCGGGCCTCATTTGGTCGAATGTTGAGAGCTTCACAGACCCGAGTAGCACCAGTATTCAAATATGATCATGTTTACATGGAAGACGGCTGCCTTGTGGGGGTCTAATTAGTCAGAATCCTGGAGGATAGATTTTATTTTTGCCCCTGGAGGAGCAGGTTTTGCTGTGGGATTCTGTTAAGGACTCAGGCTGCCCCAAATTATTCATGTCAAAGCTGGGGAGAATGCTGACAGCATATAATAAAATTTACATATTCATGAACCAGTGCTGTACCTGGAGATATTCGGTCATATCAAATGTCAGGCGTTTTGTTTTTATTTTTTAAAGCATTTCCTGTGTTTTTGTTTCCACAAAGCTAAGTAAATACTCTTTATATTAAATACTTTTTATTTTTTAGTGTGAGCCTTTTCTTCTGATTTGTTGCCTCCAGAATCACTAAACACAGAATTTATGTTGATGAAACACATTTTCACTGCCAAATTCCAGTGTGTTAAATAGGCATTTGCTGCAGGAAGGTGAATCTTGAGCACCAAGCTTTGTCTGAAAAATCCAACTTGGAACAATTTGGAAAGGATACTAGCCCTTGGCTTCTCTCTTGTCTAGTCCGCACTGTTTAATGTGTGGATCGGGCATCCCCAGGGCTGGTGCTCGCCACCCAAGTGTGCGGGAGCTCATCAGTTTTCCACTCCAATGTGATTAGCCTAACACAGCCACACAACTTGTGGGGTATAAAAAGACTTTTCTCCAGCTTTGTCTCCCCGAAAGACATGCCAAACCTAAGAGGCTGTTTTCCAGCACATGGTGGGAAGTCACATGCTTAGAGATATTCTCCCTGGAGGCATTCAGCCCTTCAGAGCAATCAGACTACTGTTGGGTTCATTGTGGGTGGGGCTCACACCCTATTGATAGGATAGTGATTGTTTGCCTGGAGAGCTTAGAACAGGTCAAACCTGCTCAGTGACATCCAAAGTTAGGCTGCCATCCTGAATCTAGGATCCGTCCATCTTGTCACATCTGTACCCCCCAGTCCCGCCCCTTCCAATTGCAGGTATACCCTTAGATCTCCCCCTCTCATTACTGTATTACCTACAGTACAAGCCCTTCCTGTGACGTATGTCTTTACTTGTAATCTGGGGGCTTGCACGCCCCCAAAAGATATATAAGCCTTGGTTAGAAATAAATCTCTCTCTCCCCTGCCATTCCCACCTTCCACATCCCCACGTGGACCACCAAGTGGGGCTGAGGTGAGTATGCTGCCATGAAATGTGTCTGACTCCTTCATTTTACTTTCTCTCTTACCTCTCTTATTCTCTATGACTTTACTGTACTCTTTACATATTGTCACTGTACAATTGTGCCTGCCAGGCCTGTGATGATGTGTTAAGGGCTGGCTACCCGGACAACAACTCTGCATCTTTATGGTATCAATCTCTACCGTTTGCTCTGATGAGTTGAGAGGAGAGTAGAAATAAAAATTGAATTGTATGATGTTCGGTGTTCAGACTGATAGTGGTGATGAGGTAAACCGAGACAAGGTGGGGGGAAATGGAGGGCTTTGCGGGGAGTGGCTGTCTCAATCGCAGAACTTGAAAAGGAGGGAGCTTCTCCGCCTCCCTCACGCCGCAGCTCAGCCCTTTCCCACAATTCCTCATGTTGTGGGGATCCAACCATAACACTTTTTCCGTTGTTACTTCACTGTAATTTGCTACTGTTGAGAATTGAGCAGCCCCCGTGAAAGGGTCGTTCGACCCCTAGGGGGGTTGCGACCCACACGTTGAGAACCGCTGGGCAAGAGAGAAGAGCAAAGACGCAGGAAGTGCCAGAGTATGTTTTAGGACCAGCTATAAATTTTGTAGACGTGATGAGTCCGCGCATCTTTCTGGTTGGTGCCGGAAACAACATTGGGTAGGGGACCAGCATTGGTAGGCTGACGTCACTTAATCGGGCGGGAAGATGGGCAGAGTAAGCTTTGTAAACAGAAGATATGTCTGCTGCTGTCTTCAGTGGAACCTAATATCACAGCTAAAGAAACTATAAGATCATTGAACTCTAATGAATTATGAGGTACCAGCCCCCACAATCAAATGGGTCCAAGGGGCGGTTGTGTTATGGGTAAAATTAAAGAGATCAGATAAGATACCAGGTCCATGCAGAAAGAGCATATAATTGCAATCACGGTTTATATACATTTTCAGGGACTTGCAAGCCCCCTGATTACATCATAACTGGGAAGGGGTTGTACCATAGGCATACATGCAATAGTAGGGGGATGGGCTAGGGGTGTACATACAAAAGGAAGGGGATGCACTGAGGGTACACATGGGACAAGATGGGTGGACCCTAGATTCAAGATGGAAGCCTAATCTTGGACCTCCTTGAGTTGGCGATGGGCTCTCCTTCACAACCGTTGTGCTGAGCCTGCTCTTTTGTAAGTGGTAGCCTGTTTACATTTATACCTCTATTTTACATATATTGTACATGAATGAAAATAGAATAAAATTCAAAGAACAACCAGAAACTAACCAATTCTCTCTTGATTCATCATTACATGCAAGAATATTGTTTTATATTATTTCCCAGCAAAGAAGACTCCGGACTTGTGAGCAGCTTTAGCCAAAGCATTTATTTATAAGAAATTAGGAAATGCAGTCAAGATTAGGTCATTATGAAATAAATATGTTAATACTAGAGGTCTGCAAGCTGTGTGGCTGAGTTTATGACATCAGGATTTGCTGCAGTATGACAGCTGGCTTAATCAGTCTAATCTAAAGCCATTTGTGTTCCTGTGTCCATGTGACTTTTGTGCCAGGATGCATCAAGAAGCTTAGCTGGGATTACACCATCTGTTGTTGCCTTTTACTTCTACAGGTTTTGTCCACAGGTAAGCTGTCCTGGGAATTGCAGGTAAGTGCAAAGTATGTCTTTTCCATTCAAATAAGTGTATGTGTGTGTATATATATATGAAATGTGAGTGTTAAGTATTATGATATAAGAGAATAGAGGTTACATGAGATATTTCTAATTAATTCATTATTAGAATGTGTCTAGATGTGCCTAGATCCGATGTACCTAAATGAGTAGCTGTTTCCTTTTGTGTACGTCCACACAGTAGTTCCTGGCCTAACACCTGTGAGGAATTTGTTTCCAATGCAAATGCTGGACTTTGGAGCAAACTGGACTTCTCACAGAGCCATCCAAAGATTGGGTCTTTGAGGCTACTTGATGTCAGAGTGCTTGGCTACGCGGGGCGGCTGCAGCATGGTTGATGCACACTTGCAGGAGCTGATGCCAGGGTTGGATGTGTGCTCTTGGGAAACGGAATGGACTTCCATTTGCAGGGCCCGTGCAGTGCCCGAGGCAGGAAGAGGAGCAAAGACGACAGAGGGCTTGCCTTGCTGCCTAGAGCTAATCTGTAGGAGAAAAGCTTCATGATTTCTACAAATGGCATAGCAGTAGCGTTATAAATTCAAATTGTGACAAATGCCTTGGGAGATTTCTATTTTCCATAGTTCAAAGTTCAAGTACGTGTTGAGGTCCGTATTGTTTGCTAAGTACAAGGGCTATTATGTTGAGCAAAATACTCGATACTGTAACCTGGAAAATACCGGTTATGAGGGAGAAAGATTCAACATTCGATAATCATAAAAGTAAAAGTGCTGGGTATTGAAGGAAGACATGGTTCTAAGTAGTTATTAATTTAAAAGTTTTCCCAGGAGATTCTATAATTTAGGTGAAATCATAGAAAAGATCAGTGTAGCATAGAGTGAGGATAAAAAATATGATTTGGTAGCTTACATATATGTATGCTGTGGGGTCCCACCCCACAGTCAAATGCTCCTGCTGAGCAATGTGCACCTTTAAAGAAGGCAGAAAGGGACCCCGGGGACTCAATTCCATTCTCAGAGAGACCAGAAGAGGAAGAGCTCTGGGTTTATTGAACAATGGTTTTTACAGCTCCTGAGGCATACAAGCCTCCTGTTAAACATGCACATCAAACTCAGGGGCAACGTGCCAGTCTCCATGGGAACACTTCAAGGGGAGTATTCAAAGGTGTGCAAGAGACGAGGGGCAAAACACTCCTTAGGGGACAGGGAGCAAATGCCCTTGGAGATAAGCATCCTATTACTTCATATGGCAAAGGATTTGGGTTTGGGTATGCTCGGTTGCAAAGTCAAATGTATTTCATACTATAGTCAGTAAAAAAATAAAAAATCTAGAAGGCCACTGTACTTGGGGAGGCCAACCACATGTGGGGCTCAGGGAAAGTTTTTTTG